CAGAACGCATTTTAGAGCAGCCTCTATGGGGAAAACATTTATATCCGAGTAGTATTCGAAGCAGTAAATCTCCCGAATATTGTCGTCGAATAATCGATATGTGGAAAATCGACGGAATGTGTTTTTGTTCGTTAGCCAAACGGATTAACTGATTTTATGCTCAGTTGCATGCAAGTCATAAATACAATGCCCAGTGCTATTTGACTTTGTGTCCACTTGCCTCGTATTTCCGATTGTGGTCAGGGTCCTTCTGTGTGGATTATGACTCAATCGGACTACCGTGCATTAATCCTAACTTATCTCTCTCTCTCTCTTTCCGTCCAAGTCATTATCAGCTGGAGTAGCGCGATGAAGCGTCGTCACACGTTATCTGAATGATTGTATGAAATTAACCATAGAGATGCTCACATGATCCAACAGGTGGATTACCTGTCACCTCATTCTCTGTCAGCGGAATCTGCTTCATCCGATTATCTGCTCATTCGACAGACCGCTCCCATAGTCTATTTGATCTATTGTTCAAGAAAGAAAATCATCCCGTTCCAGTATTTGACTTGAACGGAGAGCTGAACATCAAACTTCCGTTACTCCTAGTTGTACAAATGCCGAGAAGAAATCTCCGTTACTTGTGATGGATTTTGTGTGTGTGTGTGTTTCAGTGACCGAACACAATTGAACCTCCATCCATGCGTCCCACACTATTACACACACACAATTACCGCCGGGTTCGTTCATTCACGTATATGACGCACACTTGATCAACAATCACGGATGTAACGTTCCAGGATGGGGCCGAGAGGGGATGAACAGTCCACCCCACCCCACCGAAACCTTCATCCTCCTTGTGTTGTTCCTTCTTTGTGTTGTTGTGCTGTGTTGACCGTTGTGTCTGGCGATCTTGTCTTCGTCTCATTCGGTAACTCACCCAAAAAGTACTTATGTTTTGTCTTCTGAGACCTGGGTTCATTCGGACTGCTGGGGGTTTAGACAGACCCGTTCCAATCCGTGACTTTGACGGCCGAAACACCAATCACCTTGTGGGGTTCCCAATGTAATGTGATCGGTTGGATTCGCTTGAAGTTACAACGGATTCACTTGAGGGTGAGAAGATGTAGTGAATGATTTACTTAGAATTCAGAACAATTGAATATTGGATTGGAAATGAACTTTCACAGGCATTGAACCTGTTCATTGTAGAAACTAGGGTTTAATCTTGGTCGAATGGTCGTACAATCGCACACAGATCGTATCCACATATTAT